ACTTAATTAGCACATTAAAGTTTAAAATGGCAGAAGTTACCCTTCTGGATCCATTTTTACTTTTTAAAAAGCACCTTCTAAAATATTTGGTTACATTTCGAAAAAGCCTGAGTAGTTTTTGTTGTTTTTAAGCCCTTTTTATGCCACACAGAGGTCAAGGGGGCTCATTTCTGATCCACTCTGACTTTTAAAACTAAATGTTTACTCTTCTCTGCAGCATAGTTGACGTAAAACTATAAATCATATGAAGAGCAAATGGAAGTTGGCGCTAATGGACACAAAATTCAGCTTTAATGAATCTTTCCAAAAACATGAATCTATCTTTTTTTAGGTGCACATGCTTTACTCCATTTTATATCCGTTAAACATGCCAAAAGCACAAATTTTAGTGAGAGATTTATCTGATTTTCTGTTCCTTTAATTTGACAAAATACCTTTAGGTAATTTTACACCATCAAAATCTTTAGAAGCAGCAATGAAACAAGCCCCAAAAAGTGGAATTACTCCAGTTTGTACACATGTAAAATCTCTTTTTAATGCAGAAATACTCACTTCTGCTCCTCCCCATCGTCTTCGATGAGTCATTTCAAAGAAGCTGAATGAAATTCTGCCTTCAGCTGTGAGCCAGTAATTAATGAGCCCATTGGCTAACGTTGGCTATCGTTAGCTTACGTTAGCTAACAGCCCAGCTCTGACGGCCTGTCCCCCCCCCCCCCCCCCCCCCCCCGAGCAGGTGCTCCTCGTGGGCGGCTCCACCCGCGTGCCCAAAGTTCAGGAAGTGCTGCTGAAAGCTGTGGCCAAGTGAGTTCTGACGCACGTTAGGATTTGGCTATAAATACTCACTTTAGCATTGTATGCTATCACATGATCTATGTAGATTACTGATCGTTTTGTACTTTTATAACTATATTTTGTGTTGAAGTCTCTGGCTGTGTCCACAGACTCTGTTTTCTCTTTTTCTTTCTCTGTTGAATTAGATACACGTCTTTAAGTCAACACAAAAGCACACACCATTTGTTACCACATTCCAATGTAATCTACATGAATTACG